ATTCTTCAAGCGGGAGGGTCTCAAACATAAACCCAGGAGCCGAGTGAACTCATTCACACCATGTTGCACTCAGAGTGGTTTACACCTGGTTTTAAAGCGGACATATTATGAGCTTATCTCTGTTGGTAAAACAGAGTTTTACCATTCTTGAATCCATTCAGCTGATCTCCGGGTCGGGTGGGAGCACTATTAGCTTAGCTTAGCATAGATCATTAAATCAGATTAGACCATTAGCATCTTGCAAAAAAAAAATTATATATTTTTTTAAAGAGTGTCAATATTTTTAATTTAAATCTTGACTCTTCTGAAATTACATTGTGAACTATGAAAATGGAATAAAACATTGCTTTTTCTCTTGGTTAATGTTTAGAAACTATATATTCTCATTCCATTGCGACAATCTAGAATTGTGCTGCTGATATCATAAGACGTTGCTGCATGGTAATTTAATTTGTAATTTAATTTTCCATTGGTCCTAGTACATGACGTAACTACAGAAAATCGAGCTTTAAAATAAGAAAATTATCAAAACTTTGTTTTTTTTTTTTGAGTAAGATGCTAATGGTCTAATTTAATTTAATGATCTATGCTAAGCTAAGCTTAAGATAAGAGATCAGCTGAGTGGATTCAAAAAAATAGTATAACTGTTTAACACAGGGTAAGTTTTAAATGAGACTCATTCATTCCTTCATTCAGTCATTAATTCTCTTTTTGGCTTAGTATCTTTATTTATAAGGGGTTGCCATGGTAGAATGAACCGCCAATTTATCCAGCATATGTTTCACACAGTGGATGTCTTTCCAGCCGCAACCCAGAACCCATACACACTCACATTCACATACATACTGTACACTTTTTGACACTAGTAAGTCAATTTAACTTACTAATTCACCTACAGCGCATATCTTTGAAACCTACACAAACAGGGAGAACATGCAAACTCCATACAGAAATACCAACTGACCCAGCCGGGGCTTGAACCAGTGACCTTTTTGATGTGAGGCGAAAGCTAACCACTGAGCCATCATGTTGCCCACCTAACATGAACCTATTTTCCAAAACAAAAAGAAACAAACAAACAAAAAAAAAAAACCTGACGCTTTCCTTTAACCTATAATTGGATCACAGTGCATCTCCCTATGCAGGAAACGTAAAATTGGAAAACCCAATAATTTTGTTTTGTTAAGCCTTTTTTCTGCAACCACCTGAAAAATGCGTTCATGTAGAAAATCTAGGAATATTATGTATTGCAATTATTATATATTGGATGTTTCCACCCATAGTGCCACTAGCAGTCACCGTTTCTGTTTACCTGCTGTTCTGTTTTTGGATGTACGAACATTTGTCTCCAAAGACACCTGACATTGAACCAGGGACATTTCTAGAAATTAGTTTTTACCCTAGGCAAGGTTACTATCATTAATGTTAATCGCTATATATATATATATATATATATATATATATATATATATATATATATATATATATATATATATATATATATATATATATATATATATATATATATATTTATTTATATATATATAATGTTTCCCATCTGAATGCGCTTGTTCATTTGCTATACGACTTTTAGCATTATCGCTGTTTTTAATCCCAAAAACCTTCACCATCAGTATTTATAAACACACATAATATGGATTTGTATAGTCAGGTTGCACTCTTTTAGCAGTAATATGCTAGTTGATGTGTTTGATTAGCTTCACTTTAGCTTTATCAACTTTAGCTTTTGAATGTGCTTGTAAGCATGCAGTAGCTACGGCTTATGTTAGCATTGTCTCTGTTTTTAATCCCAAAAACCTTCACCATCAGCATTCATAAACACACATGCACTTGTACAGTCAGGTTAGAAGTAATGCTAGTCGATGAGTTTAATCAACTTCACTTTAACTTTATTAATTTTAGATTTTAAATGCTTGTTAGCATGCTGTAAGGCTATTGTTAGCATTGTTTCTGTTTTTAATCCCAAAACCTTAACCATCAGTATTCATGAACACACATAATTGATTAGTATAGCAGTAATAGTCGATTGTCTAATCAGCTTCACTTTAGCTTTTGAATGTGCTTGTTAGCATGCAGAACGGCTATTAGCATTGTCTCTGTTTTTAATCCCAAAAACTTTCACCCTCAGTACTCAAACACATTATATGCACTTGTACTGTCAGGTTGCGGTCTTAGCATGCAGTAATAGGCTAGTCGATGAGTTTAATCAACTAAACTCCACAAATAAGTAATAGATATTTTCACTAAACGTTCATAAACTTCCGGATTCAATCCAAAAGTCTCATATTCTCCATCAGTGTCCATCTCTGGTTTGCACATGCAAAGTTTTAATTCGCTATTGGTCATTTCTGACATTTTGATTCACTTGTTTTGATGTTTTTAGAGCAGGGATCAAACACTTGAACCAGCTAATCAAGCTCTTTGTAGGTATACTAGAAACTTCCAGGTGTGTTGAAGGAAGATTAAGCCAAACTATGCAGGACATCGGCCCTCCAGGATCGAGTGTTGGCACCCCTATTTTAAAGTGTCAGAATTCCGATTAAAGGCTCCACTCTCTTTTTGAAATTGGAGCTCATTTGCATTTAAAGGAACATTAAAAAAAACGTAGATTTTGTTTAGACACAAATAGAGGCAAATTTCACAGGCTATAAATAGTTTGTCCACTAATATTCATTTTGGTTGATCAGATCCCAAGAAAAGGGAGACAATTACATTTTTTTTTCTTCAAACCAATCAAAAACAATTGTATATGGCAAATTCCCATTTCATTACATAACGCGCACAAACATAACACTTCCCTATCAGCTTTGTGCAATTAAACCCTGATAAACTAATTTTGCTGTATGAAGGTTGAGGTCGTTCGTGTCTTTTAGGGGCCCTTGTTAAATAACAATAGCACAAGCTATTTGAGTCCACAGTTCTAGGAATCACGAACAGCGTTTTCTTTTCCGTCTATAGTTCACAGGAAGTATCATTTCCAAGTTTCCACTAAGGATGTTTGTGTAAGTGCTTTGCCTTAGGTATGTTTACTTTTCGGTTACGCATCTGCAGCTGTTGTTATTTTTAACCTGTTTTATTATTAACCGTTCTATTTATAGAAACGCTGGTAAATGTTTCATGCAAGTCTTAATTCCTAATTTGTAATTCATTTGTAATATATTTTGATTAGCTTCTATAATCATAAGATAATTAATTGCAATGCTTATTTTTCCTTATTTATAGTACATGCCATATAAAATAGAATAAAAATCAAGTAATTAATTTTTGTTATTATTTGTAATCATGCTTTTTACATATAATATAATATAATATAATATAATATAATATAATATAATATAATATAATATAATATAATATAATATAATATAATATAATATAATATAACATAATATAATATAATATAATATAATATAATGTAATATAATACAACATAATCTAACATAATATAATATAATATAATATAATATAATATAATATAATATAATATAATATAATATAATATAATGTAATATAATATAATATAATATAATATAATATAATATAATATAATATAATATAATATAATATAATATAATATAATATAATATAATATAATATAATATAATATATGTGATAATGGCCAAAGTCATGATCTCTGCACAAATACCATAAACCAAAATGAAATGCAGTCAATATTTGCCAAAGATTAGGGTTGAAATATTTTCAATGCTATGATATATGGATGAATGCTTCCATCTAGTGGTCACAGTGGCGAACTGCGAAATTACATTACTACGTGACATAGCATAATCTGTGTTATCTGGGTTGCTCTGTTGTCCTTTTTAATGCTCTGTATAACGTTGTTCTGTATATTATAGCTAAGATTTGCTTCTTTGAGATGTCATGGACCCCAAGTTTTATTATAATCATGAGAGGGACTAAAATTTAAAGACTATCTATAGTTTCTTGTAAAAAAAAAAAAAAAAAAAAAAACAGTTTAGACTGTGAAGAATTTGTTTTGGATACCCCACCCCCCCCACCCCCAACACTTACTACAGTACAACATTTATTGGTTTGTTTACATATATGTTTTTTATGTAATTTATTTTAATTAATTCATAATAAATAATACTTTATTCTTTATTCATTCATTCATTCATTCATTTTAATTTTGGCTTGGTCCCTTTATTAATCTGGGGTCGTCACAGTGGAATAAACCGCCAACATATCCAGCATATGTTTTACGCAGTGGATGCCCTTCCAGATGCAATAACCAATAAACACCCATACACACCTATCCACACACATACACTTCGGACAACTTAGCTTACCCAATTCACCTTTACAGCATGTCTTTAGCACACGGGGAGAACATGCAAATTCCACACAGAAATGCCAACTGACCCAGCCGAGGCTCAAACCAGCGACCTTCCTGCAGTGAGGCGATCGGGCTACCCACCACGCCACCTTGATGCCCCATTTTTAATTCAGTTAAATTAAATTTAAATATTTTTTATTTACTCGCATGAGATAAAAAATGACTTAGCAACTTTTTAAAAATATAATATATACATATTTGTACTGAACCACCAGTTAGTGCACTAACCACTAATTGGTGGTTCATTCCACTGTGGCGACTCCTGATTAGTCAAGGACTAAACTGAAGGGTAGTGAGTAAGTTTCAAATTAATCAATAGTTATTTTAATGACTTGAAATTATGTAAAACAACATTAATTATTAATTAAAGTCAATGAATTATTGCAGTATTTCATTTTCTAAATGATTATAATTCTATATTATTATTTGATGTGATTACACATGATCGTAATAAATAATAAAAACGCATATTAAATGAATTTAAGTATAAAAATTATTAAAAATGCTCATTGTGTAAATGTAAGCTATTTGTTATTATTATTTTATTTTTTGCTATATGTTATATATTTTCTTCAAACATTTCAGCTGCCCTCTTTGCTCTTCCTTTCGACCACCTGGAGCCCTTTGCATTTTAAGCCATGTACATGCTTACAAACATTATTACAAGTAAACATCATTAAAGAGAATGTAAGTGTCGTTCAGAACAAAGTAGGTCTAAATGGCATAAAGTCTAATAAAACTCAAAACCCATTGGTCTGTTCCACTGCACCTGTTCCTCATTTCAGCCAATCACAGCGCGACCTCACGCACCTCCAAGATGGCGACGTCCATCCAGAACTGCTGTAGGCACATTCTGTGTTGACAAAATACGCGTGATAACTAAGCAAAACAAAGCAAGACACATGCGGCGATTCACATCAAAAGATCGTTTTCGCTGTTAAATATCAGCACATGTCGTTTGACGGCGTGGTTGTCAATTTCATGGCTGTTTGAGAGTGAAATTGGGCGTCCTCTCGCCATGGCCACCGACAACAGGATTCATTTCTGGAGGAAAAACCCGAAGGTTCCCGGAAGGTACATTTAATCATTTATTTTAGCTGCTAGAGTGGTCATTAGTAAACTATGTAATGGTTAATATATGTAAAAGATGCTGCTTTGTTTACTATTCGATATGAAAGTGTGTCTCTTGTGTATGTTTTGACGGTATGCTTGAAATCCCAGACGAGTTTAGCATATGTAGGTTATCAAATCTGTTTTAACAGTTAAAACTGACATTGTTTCAGCGAATTATGAAAACTATGATCATATGATAGCGAATGTTTATATCAGTGTTCTTAAAAGTTCATCATGTTCACCCAAGTTACTACCAAAATACCTTATTGTTACTACAGTGGGTTTGTTTTGAATGGTCATTAACTTCAGCAGCTAAACACGTCTTACACTGCGTGATCTGGTATTGATTTGTTGTTAAATACCAATTATAATATCCGTAAACATCATAAAATGCTAGTTGTTTATTAAAATGTTTTGTTTATTTAATGTTTATGGTAAATAAAACAACTACCTGTTACTGCAGTGTTTTAATTGTTTTCTAAGCCTTGCTTTAGTTAATTTTTTTTTAATCGAGGTAAAGTTTTATATTTACACATTCCTTTAGTAACAACTTGTGACATGCTCAGTATATTGTTTACTCTAAAGCATTTTGAATATTTGGCTTGAAATCACATGTAAATATGAGTTCAAAACAACATTAGCACTGTTTATTTGACTGTAAACAATGTTGTACTTTGGTAGTCATTGTCTGCTATTACGATTTTACTATTTAGAATTTACAAACAATATTTTTCGGAAATTATATTATTAAGGAGAAACTCTGAATATAAAACCTACTTAAACTCAATTGTATTTTTAATAGTCTTAAAGCTGGCCACTTTGTCCTCGTGGGCCTTTTGTTTAGTCTGCACAGAGATCGCTGAGTCTGCTTCGTTGCAGGTTGCCTGGATTTTCATGGTCACAGACAGAATCAGTTCATCTGACTGTGAATGCGAGCCTGTGATGACTGGACGGTTTTCTGTAGATCAGATATTATATTCTGGCATTGCATAATGTTGCTAAAGAGGAACTTTCAGGCAGTCAGTTTGCAGATTTGCTGCTGCTAGTGTGGATGTACAGAAGTTAAAAGTAACTTTTTTGTTTTCTTTTTGAAAGTTAATATTTGCCATTTGAGTTCATTTGCAGGTTGTTGTTTTTTATACTTTTAAAGGGACATGTTCATTTCTAACCATGGTAAAAATACCATGTTTGCTAGTGTAATATTTTTATAAAGATTTTAGCGAAAAGGTTTTTTAAGAATCAAAACATAAGTCTAATACTACTAAGCCTGTCACTATGAGTCGTTATTGTTCCTATATATTGTCATAGAAGTTATTGCAACAAGTGATATTATTGTCATTTTAAGACAATTTTTTTTTTGCCTGTTTATATAATGATTCTACAACAGGATTTACACTGGCATAAACACATTCAAGGCACAAAAACCACATGTGAATGTCATTTTATGCTTTGTTGTTATTCATTAATCATAACTTTTCTGTAAGTGTACTACAGAGTTTACTTTGACGCCTCTTCAAAACCGGTAGTAGTTTTTTGGAAAAATTTGAAAATTCACCTTTTCTTGACCTGTTGGTAAAAAAAGTTCCCTGAACTCGCTGACACCTTGAACGAAGATGAGATGACAGAAGCTGCATAATCTGCTCAAATTGTTAAGCCATTAATTTTTATGTAAACATGATGGACAGTGTGACTGGCCTAAAATTATTCAGGTTGATATATTGATTATAGTGACAGGCCTAAATACAACTTTGTTTTGCTTGTTATGTACATTAGAATGTGTTCTGATTCATTTCATAAGCAAAAATAATGAATGAAATATACATTTTTTCAATTAAATTGAAATTGAAAAAAAAATTTGAATAGCACATGTCTCAATAATCATTGTTTCAAAGAAGTTACAGAAGGTGCACATTATTGGATTACAATTAAATTCGGAAAAGTTTAGGTCATTAGTTACCATAGCTTTATTGGTTACTAAAAGCTAGGACTAGCTTTTAACAGTTACATTTCAATAAAGTTTAAGACAACCACTAAAATGTCATAGTGTAACAATTGTTTATGTAGCAAAATGTATTGTCAGGATATATTTATGACAAGAATCATCTGATAAAGAAACGTTTGATTTTAAGAAACACATTTGAACCTCAATATAGTAAACTAATTAATTACACTGCCACTATCCTTAAAAAATCAAGTTTTGGCATCCAGATGTTTAATTTAGGACTGCACCATATTTCCTGTGATATGAATCTAGTTTCATCAGATGATTTAATTTGCTCTATTTATAAAAAGGTTATTTAGATAGATGAGGATGATAAAGTCTTTTACAGTATGTTGAAATTATAATAAATTACAAGCATACTGTAGATCAATACAACAGAGCAAATATAACGGTTAAATAAACAGTGCTTTATGGTTTTTTTGGAGAGTCTAACAGTATTCAGATACAGAAATTGAACAATCAAAAATAAAATAACATGGTCATCATTGTATAAACAGTTTTGAATTATAATATGTAATGAATAATCTAATCCTTCAATACTGGATACACACATGCCCTAGTTTAATTATTTAAAATTTAATGAAATTAAGCAAGATCAGTTATTCTTTTATATGTTTTATATAGGTAAGTTCATACAACAACAGTTTTATAACAGTTGTGCTGCTTATTGTTTTTTGGAGGCTACGTTTTATTTTGTGACCAAACAGTATAGACAGAAAGTGAAGTAAATAGGAACTGCCAAAATACAGTATAAAATGGTATTTTAAAAAAATGTTTTATTGTGTTTTTTCTGAATGAAATTATTGGTTTCTTTATATAAAAAAGGTCTTGTTGTGTGATTTTTTTTGTTTATTTTATTATTTTTTTTAAATGATAATTAAAGAATATTTTCCTCTTTATTATTATTGTGTTTGTACTTTAACTGGATTAGGCCTATCATGGATAAATAAATGCCACTGAGAAATGAAACAGCGCAGTGTTTCTCTGAGATGCACAAAAGTTCTGTTCTTTCTACTGAAAACTTTCTTAAATTTTACTCATGGTCTGAGTTTTTTTTCCCCTGTTGAACTCAAAGGTGGATATTTTGAAGAATGTTGGTAAACTGTAGCCATTGACATCCATATGGTAGGTGAAATATAGATATTGGCCAACATTCTTCAAAATATTTACAATGTTAAGAAATATCCGTTAATTAAGAGGCTTCATATTTTGTGGTTCAAATGGTGTTTATTTATAATTGTGAATTGCATTATGGTAGTTTTATCTCTGTTCTGTCAACTTGATGTTGAAAATTCAGCTTTGCAGTTTAACAAGTGACTTTTGTTAACATGTTAGTAGTTTGAGACAATTATTGTTTAAGAAATAATGTATAGAGAATTAAGTCTGTAAAACAACAGAAAATAGTATTCATGCAGAACATTAGCAGGTCATTGTTCTGTAATCTTCAACACAATCGCAGACAATATAACACTTCAAATGATAAAAAATGCCAACAAAAGTCACTTTTTTAAACTTTTCAACATCAAAAGCTTGTGGAGGAAATATCGAGATCCTATAATGTAATTCAAAAGCATAAATAAATGAAAAAAAATGAATGATAAAAAAATGTTATTTTACAAATATTTTAACTGTGTACTTTTTTATTTAAAAGAAAAAAAATAAAGACAAACATGTTAATAACATGTAAAATGCCAGCAAAAGATGACAATTTATTTTTTTTGTTACTTTTCATTCTTTATAACAACACCAAAAAACAACTAATTACAAAACACTCAAACTTATACACTACCGGTCAAAAGTTTGGGGTCAGTTTTTTTTTCATGTTTTTTTTGAAGAAAATTATTCTGTTTATCAAGGCAGCATTTATTACATGTAAAATAAAAAAAGGTAAATTATTAAATAGTTATTAAAATTTTTAATAACTGCTATCCTATTGTACATAGTTTCAAATGAAATTATTACTCCAGTCATTATTGCTTTTATTACTATTACCATTACTACTACTACTACTACTACTTATAATAATAATAATAATAATAATAATAATAATAATAATAATAATAATGACAACAATAATAATAATATTAGAGTGATTTCTGAAAGATTGTGTGACTGAAGACTGGAGTAATGAAGCTGAAAATTCATCTTTAAAATCACTAGAATAAATTAAGTTATAAGCTACTTTAAAACAGTTAATTTATAAATAACATTTCACAATTTTACAATTTGTACTGTATTTTTGATTAAATAAAAAATGAGCTTTTTTTAAAACATTTAAAAATCAAACTGAGCCCAAACTTTTGATCGGTAGTGTATGTGGTAGCAGCTTACAGAAGAAAAAACAAAATTAGCAAGGAAAATAAAGACAAAAAATAAAAAATAAAAAAATAATTTTTTTAAAAAAATATATTTACATATATAATTATTTATATATAATTATATATATAATTATATATTTATATATTTATATATATATATATATATATATATATATATATATATATATATATATATATATATATATATATATATACCTGCTGTACACACACATACATACATACATATAAAAGTTGTACTAAAAAATAAAATCAATTAAGTTCAATAATTAAAAAGTAAATAAATACAGGCCTTCTATTACAAAAAAAACATGTCCAATGATGACACATTTTCCATACTTTTAATGGATAATAAAAAAAGTCCCTGATGGTTTTGAATCATCTGAAATAATTGGTGCATTATAAGCAGAGCACAAAGAAGATTATGTTGGAAATAGATGGAATTCCCCTCGCTTTTGCGAAATATGATCTGAAGCGCCCATTATTGTTTGGGTGTGGTTGTGATCCCAGACTGTTTGAGTTGCTAGTTCAGGTGAATCTGCAGCAGTTGGAGGTCGTAGAGAGGGTGTGATCCTCCTGTAACACGAGAGGTGTGGCCACTTTCACACCATTTATCTCTTTCAGCAGAAGGGACAGAGCATGCAAAACTGATACTGTGTGCCTCCAGACAACCTTGGTGTCTTCTCTGTGAAATCACATGATGAGACTGTGTTGAAGAGAGATTCACAAAAGTCTTTAGACAGAGCGTGTCTTCAGAACCCTTGACTTTTTTTTTTCCTTTTAAAGGAAAATTGTGCCCACATTTACTCTTAGCCTTTACTTGTTTTAAATCGTTATGAGTTTCTTTCTTTCGTTAAATACCAAAGAAGATATTTAGATAAATGTTGGAAACCGCTAAACATTGAATTCCATGGTATTTATTTTTTCTACTATAAAAAAATGGATGTGGTGATTTTTATAGATTTTGGTTGCACGATTATAGTCTGAGGAATAATCATGGTTTCACCATTATCACGATTATTATGAATTCATTAATTAAAAAAAATTACAAGTTTAGAAAATCACAAGAAAACTGCTTATATTTTAAAGTGTTATTTATTGCTGCTCAGTAACCAAAATATACATCACCAAATTATAATAAAAAAACAAACAATAGTCTAGTTTCTCTTTTTGGACTTAAAAAAACTTTTTTTTTTAACTTATTTTTATTTTAAACAATTTTACACTGAAAATAAATGACAGAATAATGAATCAATCAATAAATGAATAAATAAAAAGTTTTATTTGTCTAAAACTAAGCTATAAGCTTAAGTATTTTATTGAACTTTTATTATCATCTGTGTTCATATACATACACAATAATTTTAATATAAATTTAATAAATTGGTTAATGGTTGCATTCCTGCTATGGAAGTCAATGGTTTTAAGCTTTTTTTTAAGTATCTTCTTTTGTATTCAAGTGAGAAAGAAAGAAAGAAAGAAACTCAATAAGGTTTAAAACTAGGGTAACATTAGGAAAAAGTGACATTGCGATGGTTACTATATATATATATATATATATATATATATATATATATATATATATATATATATATATATATATATATATATATAGTGATATGAACACAATTTCACCAGCTGACTTAAATAGCTCAAATAGAAAAGAATTCATCATATATTGATTGGGATGATTTTGTAGGACAGATAACTTGCATAAATAAAACTGAAGAGTCTAACTGTCACAGGCACAGGAATTAATTATTCAAAGGTAAATAAAAACACTGCACAGTCTTTATTGTATAAAAATACAATGAAGAAGAAAGAAAGAAACTCACAACAATTTGAAACTAAGACGATATTGGAAAACTGACATCATGTTTTGTTTTTCTGTGAATATACAATGTGATATGAATATAATTTCAGACTTGAATAGCTCAATTTGGAAAGATTTCATAATTTTATATTGTTTACAGTGATTTTTTTTTTGGACGGATAATCTGCAAAAATCAAACACAGAGTTTTCTGGAGAGTCTAACTGTATTCAGGTACAGAAATTAATTAGTTATTCAAATGTAAAATAAATAACACTGCATAGTCTTCATTTGTATAAAAAAAATAACTACAGTTTATCTTTGACAAAACTACAAATGTTCTAAATTCTTATACACAAATGATTTAGATACACTTGAAATCTCACAGTCATAGGCCTTACAAACAAAGCAAACCAAAAACTTCCCCGCTATTGCTATACTATATTTCTACACTCTTTAGCTTAAATTCTTATACACAAATTATTTAAATACAGTTGAAGGCATAGTAGGCCTTATAAACAAAGCAAACAAAAAAACTTCCCGTGTATTGCTTTATTTCTACACTCTATAGTTTAAACTTCACAAAGACTCCTTCAACGACTGTGGTTTTTGGTCCACTAAAATCTCCACTCATACAGCGCTCAGCATAATTGAGTACACCCCATTTAGAAGATCAATATTTGTATCTATTTCTCAGTGAATTTGCATTTTGGTGCATTTAAACAAAACAGATTTATCAAATAGATTTATTTGTTAAAATATGTTTTAGTCACCAAACATATTGAAAAAAAAGATAATTCATTTAAATTCATCCACAATAGCATTCTTTTGTTTCTTTTGATTTTTACTCTTAAATTGTTGTATTTAATATTTTTCTATAACATATAAATTTGGCTGTACTAATTTTTGGACCATTATCATAACTTATTTTGTTAGAGAAGCTCCAGAGATTTTTGAGGGGTGTACTCATGCTGAGCACTGTAATTCCTAATAAACAAAATTGAACAAAACTAAAGCTGAACTTAAACCGACATTGCAGATCCTGCGATGTGACTGTTGTGTATTTGCACATTGCGATATCGATGCTGAAACGATATATTGTGCTACAATACCTATTTATATTTACCTGAAGGAGACTAAATAGTGAGCAAATTTACGTTTTTGGGTGAACTACCACTTTAATGCCATGATATTAAAATTAAAGTGTCACCAGGAAATATGTTAGAATTTTTATCAAATATTAACATTAAGTATAATTTCTAATTTATTTATTAGTTCAGTTTTTAATTGTATATTTTTAATTGTATATTTAATAATGGAATGTTTTTGGCATGAAAATAATCTGACCTAGAGTTAGATAAAAATATGGGATCTAACATTAAAATTCCTCTAAGGAGAAATTATTCATTATATTGACAGTTTCCCCACTTTGTTAGCTTTTGTATGTAGATTTTGGTGCGCAAAAGTCCTCTGTGTGTGTATTTAACACTCCACGTCTAAGATAACACTACCCTCCGGCAAACTGCTCGCTTGCTCAAACGCTCCTTGTTCACAGCTCCAATATTAAATGCAAATGCAAGCAGCTTGCTTACATATCTGCAAGTAATTTACCTTTTATTTTCCGAGTCGCATAAAAATTGATGAGCCGTGTTTCAGCCGCATTGTGCTTTAGGGAGTTACTCTGTGGTCCCATTTGCACATAATGCATCTAGTATTGTGTGGATTTCAACAGAAATAATCTTGTAGCAACAATACTGTTAATTTTCCTTTCAAAAATACGACCACACCTATGCCCCTGTGTTGCCCATAAAAAATTCTGCTTAGCACTGCAGTGTTTGGACCTATCTAGCTATTATGCCGTATATTGCACAGTAACTCACCATAGCCTCTAATATTGTGGAGATTTATATTTATGTTGTTGTAATGTGGTGGACCCGGCAGTGTGCTTGGCTTTAATTTGAGATGTTTTTTTTTTTGGCTGTCACTAAGCACCAAGTCTGTCCTCCTGCTCTGGAATTTTTTTTTTTTAAAAGTTATTTTAAAACTTCCAATTTATTTTGGAGGTCTCCAATAGTAGACGTTCATTTGTCCATGGTCAAAAAGTGCTTTTATTTGCCCATAAACTTACAAACTATTGTAAGTTTAAACTATTTTAATTTAGTGTATATTTTTATGTATGTAAGAGGACATTTTTTATTCAGAAAATATATTAAGGGAAGTGTTTTAAAAGGGAGGAATCTTTAAATGTGTATCACTGAATAAATTGAAAGATCTTATGTGATCTGTTATCAGCATTGTTGTTTTTTATTTTGTATAATGCTGGTTTGTTGAATAACTGTTACGATTGTAAATTATGTAAATTATGTATGTTACTAATGTTGCCATATAGTCAATGCTGCTGATATGGAATAAATAAATAAATAAATAAATAAATAAATAAAAAAAAAATAAAATTGAATACATTTTTTTAAATGGTTTCATAAATAAATATATTTAATAAATTAAATAATAAAATAAAATAAATTAAGTAATATAAAAAAATAAGATACATTAAACTACATAAAATAAATAAATAAATAAATAAATAAGTAAAATAAACTTAAGTTAAATTAAATTAATTAAATAAAATAATTTTATTTTCCAGTGATGGGTTGCAGCTGGAAGGGCATCCACTGCGTAAAACATATGCTGTATAAGTTGGCAATATACTCTGCTGTGGCGACCCCAAATTAATAAAGGGGGCTAAGCCGAAAAGAAAATGAATGAATAAAGAATTTTAAATTAATAAATAAATAAAACAAAATTATTTAAATAAAATAAAGAAAAATAAATTAAATACAATTAAATAAATTACATAAATTACATGAATAAAAAAAGCAATTAATAAATAAATAATTCATAAATAAAATAAACTTTACACATAAATATTCCTAGCAAATCTAATAAATGTTGGAGACATACTTGTTACATAAATGCACTAAATCGCACTTCAGCAGTGTTTATTTGAGAGCGCACAAGAAGATCTGCGCTTGAGCAGCGTATATTTGAGGGTTCATGTATATTGTGTTTTCTATCATACGCTAGTTCTCATTTTAAATATAGCCATGACATTAAATCAGTTTTGCTGTCCTTACTTGCTTTGTAACTCAAACTACAAGGGCATTATAACGTTTAGTGTTTGATATTCTCATTCCTGACTTTATAAAACTGACCAGAATATTCATCAGAAGTGTGTCATATTATAGATTCTATAAGAATGTCAGACGCACAGTTATGAGGGTTTTATGACATGCTTGACATTCTTATTCCTGACACTCTTTATTTTATGATGACCACAATACTCCTCAGAAGTGTATCATATTCTAGATTCTATAAGAAAGTCAAGCATATGGGTTTTGAAGGACATGATTGTAACTTCATAAATATTGAGATGCATGACAAGGCTAAAATGATTCAAGATCACGCAGCCCTTTTTATGATTCTGTAGAGCACACATCAGCTTTTCTTTCTCTTAGCTTACAGCCAGTATATGGAGCACAGCACCCTCCTCTGGACCCGCGGAGACACCGTCCGTAAGTCCGGCCAGATGTCCACTGTCTGTGTGCTAGTCAATACATGTTTTTTTTTTAACCCCCATTTACATGTTCATTTACTTTCTTCATTATTTGTTTGCCCTTCAATTGTAGTCTGCATCTATATCAATGTGTTTGGGTGCATAAAACATTTACATCTTTTTTTTTTTTTGTAAAATTGTCATGCATTTTACTTTCGGAATATCATCAGTCTATATGTGCTTTTTATATGTGCTTTTTCTTTGTCTCGTTACAGATTAAAAGACACTCCGAAGGCCAGCAGTGTGGTCAAATCCAAAAAGCCTTCAACCTTTCATGAATTTGCCCGGAGCACCAATGATGCATGGGACATTGATGATGAAGAGGATGACGGTATATTTAGTCTCAAACAGTCCTCGTCTTCACCTGTCCAATCACGATCCACTCCTCAGACGCCTTGCCTCAAACTCTTCAAAGTTCCGGATGACACTGAGTTAGGCACCCGCTCACTAGACAGGCAGGAACCAATCAGCACTAACCCAGATCAAGAGCGACTGGATGTCGAAAGTGGCCCAGCCAATGGCAGAGTGGTGAAGTCTTGTAGTGACGCCCAGCTGAATGTTAATACAGGTATGCTGGTTAATGTTGTTTTTAAGGGTTGACGTTGTTAAATGCGTTGTACAGTAATAAAATAATACTAATAATATTTTACTTATAAAACACCATTTAATAATATTGTGACATAATAAAAGAAATCAAGTTGGAAAAACTCTATAAATGTATAAATAAATGTGCTATTTTTTATATATATTTGTGTAACATATTTTCATGTGATTTTATTTTTTGTTTGTGTTTAACAAAGCAAGGAAAGCAAGGAAATTTTCACAACATGTCTCATAATATTTTTTGTCTGATAGTATATTCTGTTCTGATAATAAGTCTTGTTTGTTTTATTTTGCTTTATTAATAAAAGCAGTTTTTAATTTTTTAAAGATCATTTTAAGGTCAATATTAATAGCCCTCGTGAGCAATGTTTTTTTTTTTTCAATTGTCTACAGCAGTGGTCCTCAATCCCCCAGCTGTGGACCAATAGCAGTCTGTGGATCAATTGGTACCGGGCCGCGCAAGAAATCATTAATTATTTACGTTTTATTTATTATTGTATATTAAAAGTCTGAACGATCTTATTTTGAAAAATGTTTTATTTTGAAACATGACTGTATTCTCTTGGTTACATCCAGTGCTGCTAGATTGAGAATTTTCCTGCCCAACTGGGCAGTTTTGAATTTGATTGTGCTGGTTAAAAATGGCATAGGTGGGTTGACACAATTTGGGCGGTTCTAAAACGTAAATTTTACATGCATTTTATTTAACAAAACATAACTGAGTTCTCCTACTCTATTCAGTTAGTAGTGACCACTGCATAGCGCAAACCGCGTGGGCCCACCCGCAAGAGGAGGTTAAGAAAAGCTGTATCAATTTCAAAATCTGACTCATGCAGCGTCTGAAGTTTAACTCACAGCGGTTTATCGTGACACTTTTAACGATCATTAAAACATCAAGAACAAACATAGAAACGTTGTCTCAAACATAGAAACGCTGTCTCAAAAGAATTTAAAATGAATCTATACCCCATTTTCAAAAGTAAAACATACTCTAGTCGGTAGTGTAATCTACACAACTTTAAAAGCAATGTGTTGATGAGAGGGGCAGTGTTTCGATGTGATCTGGTTATGTTGTGGTTCTGTGACTGCTGGTGTTGTTTGCTGTATTGTTTTAATTTTGACAGTCAAAGTAACTAGGTTAAATTCAATTTAAATTAATTAAAATGAAATAAAATATTAATATAATATTTAGGGTGTTTTTTTGTGCTTTGGGCGGGTTTTGGACAGCAAATTTAACCCACAAACAAGAAACAGACATGTCTGGAAAGTTTCTTTGCAACGGGGAAAAGGCCCAATGAAGGACCCACAAACGGCCAAGAAATCTGCAACCATTTGTCAGAAAATCAGGTGAATCCAGCATGTCTGTGCAAAAAGAATATCAAAGGCTGGAGATCACAAATGTCAATGGGGGGCCGTTCACATATCACGTCTTTTCCACGCGCAAGTTTGTTATTTTTCAATAGAGAAAATAATCGTTAACTCCATATTCTGAGTGATGCGTGCAAGGCCCTCGCACCCTCCAGACGGACTCGGTTGAAAACATCCTCAGAATGCCTGGAGCGCAACACAAGTCACATGACAACAACTGACCAATCTGCTTGTATGGAATAAACACATTTCGGTAGCACAGCAGTGCTTTTTATTTTCTCCATAATTAAAACTTGTATCAGAGTTGCAGCAATGTTTTGCCAGCTTGTCATCATACATAGCAATACGTACACTCACTCCCTAGCCACCTTAATATTGTCAAGTGTTGATCTGTCTGCCGTGACAAAAAGGTTGGGGACCACTGGTCTACAGAACAAACCATCATTATACAATGAATTGCTTAATTACCTAATCTGCCTAATAATTCTAGTTAAGCCTTTAAATGTCACTTTAAGCCAAATATAAGTATTGTAGAAGTGAAAAATATCCAGTAAAATATTATGTACTGTCATCATGGCAAAGAGTAAAAAAATCAGTTATTACAAATTACTTATTAAAACCATTATGTTTACAAATGTGAAAAATCTGATTTCTGGCAAACAGAAATTGTTGAACAAATAATGAGAGGGGCTAAGAATTCAAGAGGGCTAAGAATTCTGACTTCATTACATTTTATATATACATTAATTCTAATTTTTTATATCTTTGTCTTTGTTTTCTTTTCTGTTTAGCTCGAAATCCACTGCAAAAACAGCAGTCGCTTCCGGTACGCCCCGTCATTCCCTTAGTTGCCCGCATTTCAGACCAAAACGCCTCAGGAGCTCCGCCCATGACAGTGAGAGAGAAGACACGATTGGATAAATTCAAGCAGCTACTCTCCAGCTCCAACACAGACCTGGGTAAGCCTTTCAGCAAACAATTACTAAATTGTTTCATCATTCAATATACAAAATTAATAAAATGTTGTCAAAGAGGTATTAAAAACTAGACACTCATCATGGGTTACTTGTCGACTGGTAGAAGATCTTCATTAGAACCATCTGAAAATCGTCACATGTGTTCGCACCTCATCCCTCGCCTGTTTTTCTGCTTCGAGCTGAATGTCTTTGCCAGGTGAGACAGTGTGGGATGGCAGAATGCACACGAATCTCATCCACGATGTTATCCTAGTCTTCCTGAGTTCATGCTGAGAGGCCCTTCTGTTCTCCCCACATTCTCCAACCAATCGTCTTTTCGAGTGCACCTGTGAACTGGCAGAACAAAAAAAAAAAACAAGTTCTGCATGTGCCTTCGCTCTTTTTGTCCCGTCGATGCTGTAATGATGCTATCAAAGAAACTCGCTCTTCTTTGCTTTTATAACTGAGTTTCAGCCTCCGCAGGTTCAGAGCTTTCCTGAGCGACAGGCTGAAATCACGAGGGAATGAGAACCATCAGTCATTGGAGGGGAAAATAACACTTATGCACTTCTTTCGCAGCATCTTATGAAAAATGCGCTTGTGATATAGTTGGAGGGGTTTCCCTGCACAGTATTCTGAGTTCATAATAGCTTCTGAGATCTTTCATCATTCCGCTATCGTATGACGGCTGGCAGGTGTCCAATACCATTAGTATTTTAGAAGCGCTTGGATATCAGCTTCGTGTTTGTTCTAACTCAAAAACGACCCAGGAGCACTCTCGCCAGATGTTTCTCAGCGAGTGTTTAAGTTTTCATAGACGTTGTGTGAAGCGGGTTTTTACATTCACTGATCACGATGACCCAGAGGGCTTGACGGGAGATGGTAAAAAAACAATCCTCAAAAAGAAGTGTAGGCTTCAGTACCCGGAGAGATCAATGATATCTGGTATAATGGCATTCACCTGCTGTATAATGTTGTCTTTTTAGGAACGACAAAGTAAGTAATTGAGAACAGGGGAGTTGAAAAGCTCCACTCAATGAAAAATAGGAAAAAGGAACAGACAGAGAGAATGGTTAAAATTCACTGTGATTCTGCTGGTTGTCATGACAACAGCTGTCTTTGCTCTTCTTTGTAAGACTCGAAAGTATAATACTATAAGTATTTTCATTACCTCAGTGGTGGTGCTTTCAAAAGCAAGAATCATAATTACTTTGAGCCACAGTTTTAGCATGTAACTCATCATGAATTATTTACTAACACTTTAAGTGAAATCATTTTTAGGGATAGTTCATCTAAAATGGAAAATTAGCAAAGTTACTTTGCTAACCCAATGAGTTTTTTCATTGATGAATATTTTTTTGTATCTCAAACCATGGTATATTTGGTAGATTCTTAAATTACTAATCAACTGCTACCAACATTTTAATAGTAAAAAAACACCATATACTGTGCATAATTAAGTACACCCCATTTTGAAAATGAATATTTTTATTAATTTCTCAGTGAATATGGGCAATGTATTTTGGTGCATTTAAATAAAACACATTTAATTTTTCTGTTTATTAAACAGATATATTTATTAAAATAATATTTTAGTTACAAAACGGTTTCAGAAATTAAAGGGTTATACAATTAAATTCAAGAAAATTATTGAAAAAAAAATGACAACCTATAAAACTTAAAATTTTTTCCAGATTTTTCTTCTTTATTTCATTTTATTTTATTTTTTAAATTTTGTATTTAATATTTTTCTATAACATATAAATTTGGGTGTACTAGTTTTTGGACCGTAATCATAAGGTATTTCGTGGATAAGCTCCAGATTTGGCTTAAGTACTGACTGATCTAATGACAGTTAAAGTCATAATTATTAGCCCCCCTTTAATTTTTTTTTATTATTTAAATATTTCCTAAATGACGTTTAACAGAGCAAGGACATTTTCACAGTATGTCTGATGATATATATATATATATATATATATATATATATATATATATATATATATATATATATATATATATATATATAATTTTTTTTTTTTTTTTCCTGGAGAAAGTCTTTTTTTCCGGCCAGAATAAATGAGTTTTATATTTTTTAAAAGCCATTTTAAGGTCACATATATTAGCCCCTTTAAGCTATATATATATTTTTCCGATTATCTACAAAACGAACCATCATTATACAATAACTTGCCTAATTACCCTAACCTGCCTGGTTAACCTAATTAACCTAGTTAAGTCTTTAGATGTCACTTTAAGCTGTTTAGAAGTGTTTTGAAAAATATCTGTTCAAATATTATTTACTGTCATCATGGCAAAAATAAAATACATCAGTTATTAGAAATTAGTTATTAAAACTATTATGTTTAGAAATGTTTTGAAAAAATCTCTTCTCCATTAAACAGAAATTGGGGAAAAAGATAAACAAGGGGGCTAATAATTCTGACTTCAACTGTATATGCACAAGTACAATATTGTATAGTTTCCTATTAAAAATATGTATAAGGTGATCTTGTTTCGATTAAAACGAACTCTGAAGCAGATCGATAAAAGTTAGAAAAAGCAGTACAATCCAACAAACTAATGACCCTGGCGATATCTCAGTGTATTATAGTTATGTAATAGCTACATATACGGTTATTAAAGAACCCCTATTTTGCATTATAAAGGTCATATTTTGCTTTTGAGGGTCTCCAACAACAGGCTGATATGCATGCACGGTAAAAAAAAAACATGTTCATTGTTTTATAATATGCATTCATTTTTACCTAATTATCCTAGCGACTCCTATATGATTCGTTCAGCGATTCATTTACTCCCAAACACCTCCTTAGCACGAAGCTAATCTGTGCTGATTGGTCCGATCACCCAGACTGTTGTGATAGGTTGTCTGGGTTCAGCGCCAGACAGAGAGAAATGCCCACCACGGCAATGAAGTAGCAGCCAGAGAGTATGTGAAAGCCCAATGCAGGAGTGCAATAAAGCAATGCAGTTAAACACCATGTATATTACTCTACTCTTAACCACAACCCGAGTAATACCAACCACACACTTTCAGTATTAATCCACACAGTGGCAAAAGTTGAAGCATTTTGAAAATTGGCCGCGCCTTCTGTGTGAGGAATGGATGATGGTGGCCTTAGCAAAGGCACAACGGCAGAGGATTGCCAGTTCACAAACACATTTAAATTGGTAGAGGAAGAAGAACATTTTTAACATGATTATGTACACAATATGTGAACAGCCCCACAAAGATTTAACCTGAGAGATGCAGTACAAGCACTGATCTATAATAAATATGTGATTACACCCCACGCAGAGCAATTACAAGTTACAACACACTATTAAATACATATTTTGCAAACTACATTAATCGAGGCAACAATTTTAAATACACTTACATGTTATGATCCGGAGAAAAAAGAAACATCAATATGAACTGTAACAGTTTCTGGCAAAGTCCCTTTCAAAGTCTGACAAAGTCCCATACATAATATTCTCTGCTGCTCTTTCCTTTTAATAGCAAACGGCAGGTGATACCCTCGTTGCAGCGTAGATTATTGTATCAAAAATCAGAAATATGACAGGAACAAACACAGCACACGGTTGGCTTTACTGTGGAACTGTTGTGAAAATAAACTTTAACCGTTTATTCTTCGCAGCCGAATTTCCATCTGTCAGTGATCGTCATCTTCGTGTTATGATCTGTTCCATGATCCCCCGTGCTTCGCTAGTATCTGAAGGGAAAGGCGAGTTTATGTTTTCACCGGAACTGGTGCCACATATTTGTTGACGTACTATATCGACGGCGATGTGTTCAAGCAAAGGATCCAAACCCATTGCGATTTATTTATTTGACTCTGAGTCGACTAGTTACAAAAAATGACAGGCAGTACACTTATTAATTCAATAGATGGATTTGTACAACCCTTAACTACTGAAATGAGACAAAGTCTGACCTTTCTGATTTATGTATGGTGACGATGTCTGTGAGTGTATGACAGCTAAACAGAATCTTTGGGACTCTAGAAAATAAACCTTGAAATTCAGACCAATGTGAAGAAACCAATGACTCTCACATGACTTGTTTTAAGTATTTTAGTTAGTTTAGAAACTTTGCAGTGTGAAACTAACCGCACCAAGAACAAGAATAAACAGTAACCATCTGAATCCCTGTTTCGGAATAAAACAATTGATCTACAGATGTGAAAGCACCCTAAGTCGTGTGGCTCCAGTCAATATGTTGAGGCTTTAAGAATCAAATTAAATTAACAAATGACTACTTGTGATGTCCTTCAATTATATAACTAGTAGTAAAGAGGACAGAATAATGCTGTTCACTTGTGCTTTAAACAAAGTTCCTGTTCACTTGTGCTTTGAATTTATGAACTATAAAGGTCACCATCTGGTCTGGATACGGAGCAGATATAAGATTATGTGAAGTTTTCGATAAGGAGAGTCAGATGAGCATAGATGCATTTTTTTTCTTAGTGTTTTTCTAAGTATTCCTGGTTCCAGTTGCCTTGATTAATGCAGCCTAGCAATCCCTTAGTGGATCTAAATTTTATAATAAATCATTGACCTAAGATTTTAAGAATTAAATAAATTTGTAGACAAAAATAATATCTAAAATTTTTGCATGTGACAGGAACAATGCTTTTCATTGTGTGGGTGCTAATGTATTTGTCAAATTTTTTGTCTCTATGGATATCCTTTTACGTGACTGGGTAATTAAATGTCTTAATGATTTTTTTTAACCGTCTATTTCACTAATATATATTGCCTGTCGCAACACGTCAAAATTATGTTGTTGAGTAGTGATTAGTGTTTTTCTAAGTGTTCCTGGTTCCAGTTGCACTGAATAATGCAACCTAGCAATAGTGGATCTAAATTTTAAAGTAAAACATTGACCAAAGGTTTTAAAAATTAAATCAATTTGTCAACAAAACTAATGTATAAAACTTTTGCATCTGCAATGGTTAAAGCAACACTTTGTTTAAACCAAAAAACTATAATAATTCACTTAATATGCAAACTAAGGTCAAGATTTATTATTAAACACCGGTTTAATAAAATACCCTGAATATCATTTTTCTTTTTCTTACCCAATGGCATATAATTTCTCATTTTACGCATAATTCTTACATTAGTAGGAATTTATAACTTGATCAATATTCCCAATGTGATTAGAAAAATAAATGAATATCATTACAAGCCCTCTGAGTACAAGTGTTAATATTTTATATATTTCCTGTTCTCAAGTAAAAGGTTTGTTTCACAACAACACACAAAACTGTTTAGGCAAGTATTTCGAGGTGTGTTGAAGGGGAAAAAAGCTAAATATTTGTAAAAGGATGGCACAGATGCTTTATTCAGTTTTTTTTAAAGCTCTCCAAATATTATGAGAACCTGTGAGTAGTCAACTACATATCCATTACCTTTAAAATCAATACGCAGTTATGGCTTATTTGTCTTATCGGAGTTTCCATAATTCAGCATGGCATGCCTGTGAAAACTGTGAATGTGTTTGCTAATTAAAAGTAATTGCGTATTGATTATGCTGATTGAACTGTAAGAGTGTCATCGGTCCTGTGAAAGCTGGCGACTGCTGATTTAAAACATGTCGTGCGTGATTTTCAATCTCAGCATATGAATGAACTCTTGATTTATGCGTTTGGATGTTGATTGAGACTGCATTCAATTGTTTGGTCCAATTCTTCTGAACTTCCTCTGATTTATACCTTGGGGTCCAGACCACAGTATGATGAGTTGTTGACTGCCGTATCTAGAAATCAACTGGTCTGAAGATGGCACTTTAACCGTGCTATTAAAATATTTGTCATTTTGGATTAAATTGACACTTTTTGTTTTCTTTCTACAGAGGAGCTACGGAAGCATAGCTGGTCAGGAATCCCTCGTGAAGTTCGACCAGTCACCTGGAGGCTTTTGTCAGTAAGTACATTCTGATTTAATTTAGCCATTCTTATTCAAATAAACACCAGCGAGAGGACAAGAAAATATCAAATTGCTGTTTTAACGGCCCAAGTATTAAAATAATAGTCAGGTTTAAATCAGGCTCGGGCTCATAATTGTGTCAGATCAGATCGGGCTCAGACACAAGAGGCCCTATCATACACCTGGTGCAATGCTGCTCAAGGCACAATGCAATTGTTGTTTGCTAGTTTTAGCTCGACGCAAGCGTCGTTTTGATGTGTTGCACCACGCTGTTTAAATAGCAAATGCATTTGCGCTCATATGTGCGCCCATAGGCATTCTGGCCTAAAAAAGGTGGCATGTTAAAGCGCATTGCTGGCGTGTTGCTATTTTAAGGAGCTATAATAGACTGTTTAATAGACCAGCTGAGAGGGGTCTAAACTCCAGCGCAGAGCGCGTTAGTTGTGCGCCTTGCTTAAACATTGCTTACACAGGAAGTACAGCAATACGCAAATATCTTTACAAAAGGAAAAGGATTGAAGGATTAAAATATTACAAAATTATTATTTTCTACGTAAATATGAACACCACTACTTTCATGCCTTCTTTCATCTCGGAGGGCTTTTTCAGTTTATTCATGACAATTTGCTTTTGTATTTTGTTGTTATTATTAGTAGTATTAAATGTATACATATTTATATTTGTTTTATTAAAAAAAGCTTAGATTTACTCACCTGTCAAGTTTTAGACCATATGGGGCATAGCATGTGTATTTGGATACAACTCAGTTTTTTTGAGCACATTTTGTTGTTATTGTTCATTCATTAGTTTGCTGGAAAATAAAACTGAATTTAGAAATAGTTTTGAAACAAATCTTTGCGCTTAACAAACAAAATTAAATATGTAGACTAATTGATGTCTGTGCGTACAACACGTTTCCTTATCTACGGAAGAGAGTGAAAGTGAAAGTAAAGAATGAGGAGGCTCATCTGTCAATCTTGTGCTGCTGATGCTCTGTTTAACTGTTTTCTCGCTAGTGAAGCGCTCAGTTTTTCCACTTACAAAGTCCACCATGTAAATAGCAAATTCGCTATGGCGCGATGCAACTGACTCTTAAAGGGAATGGGAGATAAGACTCTGATTGGTTTATTCTCTAAACACACATATAACTCATTAAGAGAATAAGCTCAACCCTGTTAGACCATGCGGCGCAAAGCAGATTTTTTCATCCTTATATTAGCAAAAGTGGATTCCGACATACCCTTATTGCTTTTGCACCCTGCACTTTAGACTTTGCACCTAGATCGTTAAATAGAGCCCAAGGTGTTTTGGGCTGATCAAAGTTCGAATGTAGTCATCAGAATAGTTTCTTTTATAGTTATTCTTCTTGGTGTGACTGGGTATTTAAATGTTTAAATATTTTTTTTAATCATTTTTTTCACACAAATAAATTTTGCCTGTCACACCAGGTCAAAATTGTGTTGTTTTGAAAAAAATCAATACACAGACAGATCACTTTGATAATTTTTTTTCCATTTTATATAGAGGTAAAATAGAACTACAAAAATTGCGTTTACAAACAATTATAAACTGTTTTGTTAGTTTTTTATTTAAAACATTTTAAAGTTAACGGGATTCAAAACAGAAAAAGTAACTCAGTGGTTAGCACTGTCACCTCTTAGCAAACAGGTCGCTGGTTTTAGTCCTGGCTGGGTCATTTGGCATTTCTGTAGAGTTTGCATGTTCTCCCCATGTTCGCATGGGTTTCCTCTGGGTGCTCCAATTTCCCCTACATTCCAAAGATATGCCCTATTGGTGAATTGGGTAACTGGGCTGGAAGTTCATCCGCTGCGTAAAGCACATGCTGGAATAGTTTTTAGTTCATTCAGCTGGGGCACCCCTTGATAAATGAGGGAAATGAATGGATGAATGAATATATGTCAAGCCTTTAAAGGGATAGTTCACCCCTTCGTTCGAAAAGAAGGTATTTAAAAAAAGGTAGCTGGCACCTATTGACTTCCATACTATTTTTTTTTTTTAGATGAAGTCAAAGGGTCCCAGCAATCAGCAAATCTTTTTTGTGTTTAACAGAAGAAAACCATAGTGTAGGAAGAGTAATCGATGAGGTAATTAACATTTTTGGGTGAAAATATCCATTTAACAGACCTGTTTGAAGAAAAGTTTATATTTGCCAAACAAATAATCCAAATGTCTTTATGCTTTTTCAATTTGAAATGTCACAGGTAATAAATAAAATAATCATAATCCAGAAATTCAATTTAATAAATGTTTGATTTGCTGAATTAATAGACAATGCTCTTATTAAATAAACAGTATATTATGAAGGGTTAATTTTTTATTTTGGGTTAGTCAGCTTCGCAAACTTTCCAGTTTAGTTCAGCGTATAGGGTGCGCACACACAATCAGTTTTTACGCTTTTCACCAGGTATAAACCTTCCTTGTCACGTTCACTTTAATGTGTGTTATTGATTCGTTTTGCTGTATTGGCCTTGCTTAGCACTTAATGTCAGCAGAAATGTGAGCGTCATCACAGAAGGGGTAGAGAGTGGGTTCACTTTGTTGTGGCTGTATATGTGCGCGGATGTTGAGAGAATGCTTTACAAGCCTCATTTACGTTTCTGGCGCATGCTTACACAGTCAATAACACACACCTCCGGGGCTAAGCTGTACAAGCAAATCCCCACCCCGGCCTAGCTCCTCCAAAGCTTTTTTTTTTTTTTTTTTTTTTTACTGCTTCATGCAATGCTTGCTGGGGATTAGATGGAATAATTCCATATGCATAAAGTTACTGAGGTAGACACGTGCTGAATAAATAGAAATGTGCCAAACAGATGCATTTTGTCTCTACCTTTCAAATTCAAATTGCTAATTTTTAAAAAAAATCAAATTAAGTCATTTTTATTTTATTTTATTTTAATTTTATAATTTTTTTTTTACAATTTTATTTAATCTAATTTATTTATTTTTATTTTATTTTAAATTTGATTTAATTTATCTTGTCATTTATTTATTTTATTTTATTTTATTTTTATTTGTTTTTAACTAAATGTATTTTTATTTTATTAAATCAAATTTATTTATTTTATATCTTTATTTAATTTAATATATTTATCTATTTATTTATTTTATTTTTATTTGTTTTATTTATTTGTTTATTTTAATTAATTACATTTTTATTTTTTATTTTACTTTATTTAATTTTAATTTAATTTACCTTTTTAAAATTTTTATTTTTTTTATTCATTTATTTAATGTCTGTCTACTCACAGTGGTGCCTCATTTTTGTAGTTCCCCCTGCAATCAGCTCTGCCTTAATTAGTTCCAAAGTGAAACTGGCATAAGATCTTAAGACACATGACATACGCTACAGATTTAATTTAATTTAATTTAATTTAATTTAATTTAATTTAATTTAATTTAATTTAATTTAATTTAATTTAATTTAATTTAATTTAATTTAATTTAATCATTTCTTATTTGATTTTTATTTTTATTTTATTATTGTTGTTTCTATTTAATTTTTATTTATTAATTTTATTTATTTATTTAATAATTTTTTTGTAAAATCGAACACTTGCATTTTGTTTTTCGGAGGTGTTTGTGTGAACATTTTCCCAACTTCGATCCAAGTTTGACAGCATGGAAACCTTGCCAAGACCTTCTCTGAAAGTTTTAAGATCGTTCTGATTTTCAGCATGGAATTTGATAGCCGTCATTAAAGTTTTGAAGGGAATTTTTATTTTTAACTAGGAACTATTAAACTATTCGATTTTGTAGTATTCAGTTTAAATTATGCAAATGACTGTATATAATTTTCTTTCTTGTGCTAATGCTTTTTTTTCATGATATATAATTTATTATTATTACATTTTTGGCATAAGGAGCAAATGTATAAGCCAAGACCTTCTCGGAAAGCAGTTTTAAGATCGTTCTGAATTTTCCGCATGCAATTTAATAGCCGTTATTAAAGTTTTCAAGGGGCTGACGATGGTGCGAATCTAGATGAGTGGAGTTTGTGCACTTATTATTCGCCTGAAGCAACAGACGTGAGCAGAATTGGGAGTCGGATGCTGAATGTACTTTATCATTTATGTGTTGAAGCGCTCGGCATCGCTGTGTGTGCTCATTAAAAACAAGAGCTGAGAAACAATGGGAGGGGAAGGCACTTTAAAAACAGCATTTTCAGAAACATGATGGAGAGTCATGACAACGATCGAACTGACAGCTCCACGCCTCCACGTCTGCTCTACAAATAGCCTGCACTTGTTGTCTGCTCTTTAGGGACTCATCGCAGATACGAAGCTAGTACGTGCTAACACAATTGCATCCTGCCTCGTGTGTTAGTTTAGTCGCGCTTCATGATTAGAAGTTTCTCCTAGAATTGTTGATTTTTTTTTTTTTTCCTTTTTTCTTTTTTGTTTTCTTTTTTTTTTACTTTCGAAGTTTGAGATCATTTTTTTACACGTGTTTGTTAGTTTGTCCTGTTTAAGGCAGGATTTTTTATTATTATAGCATATACTTGTTTTTTTTTTTTTTTTTTTAAGTGGCATAAAGACATTTAGTATAAATCAGGGTTCTATAAAATAGTAATACATCTAAAACCATAAACCTTAAATTATTGTTGTTGCTTGAAATTAAATAAGATTTAACAGAAGAAGTTCTCACAATAAAAATACTATAGTAACTAATCATACAATTTGTTATTATAGTAACATTACAATTTGCTTTTTGTTAATGAGTGCTACAGTATGCTGTAGTTTTATAAACTACACCACCTGGCAAAATACTTGTCGCCTATCCAAGTTTTAGGAACAACAACAAATAATAACTTGACTTCTAGTTGATCATTTGGTATCAGAAGTGGCTCATATGAAAGGCAAAAGCCTCTAGATTATGCTTATTTTACCAAAATAAAATATGATCATACCTTTATATTTTATTATTTATTTAGGACAGTAAGGTCTCAGTTTGTCACTTAACAGAAATAATGTCAAGTA